ACTGGTCTACAGTATATGATAATGGCATCCGAAATCAAGGAATGCAACTTCATTGAATGATCATCAGCTATTGATCTAGTCTGCAAGGCAACATATATTATATATAGAAACAGGCAGACAAGGAAGGAAACTTCCTAAATGATTAGGTAGATTGGACAGTGACAAATTCTGCTTCAGCCTCAATTAGTTCTCATTCATTGCTTGAGCATCATTCTTGGTTTCGCTTGGCAGAAGGTGGCTTCAGCAGCAGCAAACACTGCTTCAGCCCAGTAAGCTCTCTTTTGTTAATTAGACACAGATAGGAGTTTGGGCTCAGGGAAGATTGCTCCTTCAATATTGAACATAACTTCAGACTAGGGCAGCGTGTCTCAATCTTGACAACTCGAAGATGTGTGGACTTCAGCTGGAATTCTGGAAACTGAAGTCCACGCATCTTCAGGCTGCTAAGGTTGAGAAACACTGCCTTAGGGTTTAAGAGTTAGAATGCATGCCAAGGATGAGGAACTCAAAAAATTGCATACTGCACTATGTATATTGCATTGGGCAAACCATATCCCTACAGATAGTCCTTGTTTAGCAACTACCTCAGACAGTGACCGTTTGCAGTTACGACAGTGACGGAAAAGTAACTTTGCAAGTAATCCTCACATTTACGACCTTCGCAGGTCTGTAAAGTGAAGGAAAGCTGAAGTCAGATCATAAGCATAACTGCAGTTTCATTCAGCAACTGCTTCGCTTAACAGCTGAGTGGCCAGTCCTAATTCTGGTTGCTAAATGAGGACTACCTGTATTTCTGTCCTCCTGGCAGATACCGAAGCGTTGCATTCCAGAAAAGGTTTGATCCACTGCATACAGAATTTTCCAATTTCATAGTCCTCCTAAATTTCTGAGTAAACAAAATTAGTGACCAAGATATATTTATTTATTTATTTATTTTATTTTTCAAATTTGTATGCCGCCCATCTCCCCCAGTGGGTGATATAACATTTGGAGAAGATAAACCAGTAACAGAACCAGTTAGGAATTGTACAGCCCATACTCCTAAGTTTTATTCATCCATGATTAAATACGGGTTACTAAAATAATTTAATTTTGTGCACTCACAAGGCATGTGCAGACCCAAAGAGATTACAGGATCGGACCTCACTCAGCACACTATAAGCTTGTGCTTTGGGGTCAATTGAACAGAGACCTGACCTCTCACCAGCAAGAATGGAACAGCCAAAAATCTGACATTAATTACTAGTGTATGGGAAAGTTCTGGCGCCACCTAGTGGCTACATCATGTCATAGCAATAGCAGGCACAGTAACACAGTGTTTCCCCATGGCTGGCTGGGGAATTCTGGGAGTTGAAGTCCACCCATCTTAGAGTGGCCAAGGTTGAGAAACACTGCAATAAGATGATGGGGTTCACATATTGTGCTAAACTATAGCTTTCAGATCTGGGCTATAAAATCCAGGTTACAGCACTGCCATGTAGCCCTGGTTCAGATGTTTTTGGCCCAGATTTGGTAACTGTACCTAAACCATTATGTGGCTTGTTGGGTTCCCCCTTAGAGGAGGTTCTCCCCTGTAACTCAATCATGTTTTAAAATGAGGCTGATGGGTTAAACAGGTTGTTGGAACTCAACGATTTGTGGTTGGCTCAGTCAATTAAAGCTAACAAACCATGGTTTGCTGTAATGTGTAAACCTGGGTCTATGAATTTTGCAGAATGCTAGCTTATTATTTTTTTAAGCAAGTCTATATCAACAGCAACAAAGTGGAAATCTGAATTATCAGGTATAGATTCAAAGAGAGAGAGAAAAAGTTCTTTGCTGACGAAGCAAAATGCTGTGCACTAAAAAAAATCTGCATGCTTTGTTGTCCATCAGGGCAACCAGATTTGACTTAGAATCTCTTTGCTACCATTGACCGGCTGTTTGCATTGTTACTACCCAGATCTGAGACCCTAATTGCACATTATTTGATGCGAAGCAGGGTCGGACCTAAATAGGAGTTGGATGGGAGGCCACCAGGAAATCCATGGGTTGGAGAACATTAAAAAAATATTCAGAGGAAGGCATTGGCACACCCTCCCATAGAGTTGCCAAGAAAACCATGAAGGGTCCATGGAGCCGAGCTGGACTAGGAGAATCTGCTTCTAAACGCGCACGGGAGGGGGCGCTGCAACCACCAGGGACGACCAGCCTCTCGTCCTAAAACGCCTTCGCTTCAAGCGTAACCCGGAAGTGACCCATCCGGATGGCAGAAGCTCGCCTCTGCTTGAATAGATCTAGGGTGCAGCCACTCCGACGGCCGTAGAGCTCCCGCTCCCAGCCGCAAGGAGGGTGGCTTTGCGACAGCCGTAAGTGAAGGCGTTGCGCCGCCGGACAGACGCTGGAAGCGGCCGCGGCGGAGGGGCTCTGCCCGTAAGCGGGGCGCCGG